GCACCAGCCAACACTCTCCAGATATAGTCTCCCTCAAGTAGATAGAATCTGGCTTTGTGCAAATCATGATAAGATCCCCATGTACCCCATATTCTATCTACTTAAGGGGGAATTATAGGTTCTAGGCTCTAGGGTTCAAAGGTTTAGGGCTTAGGGGTTTTGGGGTGTAGGGTTTAGGTTCTAGGCTCTAGGGTTCAAAGATTTAGTGCCGAGGGTTTTAGGGTTTAGGATTTGAAGGGGGTAATGAAGGGGGTACTGCGGCTCACTGCGGGGGCCTCAAGAACTACCAACATTATGGCCCCACATTCCTTGTAGAGTTCTTGTATAGGCTGCCCCAAAAATGCTGCAACGTGATAGTGCTTGGGAATTATGCAGGGCCCTACACCTAAACCCCCAAAATATGCAAAATAATACCCCTAAACCCATAATGGATAGCCCTAAAGGCCATTATTTCACATACTTTTGGGGTTTAGGCATTAGGTGGTTGGGAAGATGTAGGGCTTCGGAGTTAAGAATTTGGGCTTCTGGGCTTGTGGGCGAGGGGACCGTAGCGACCCACGGGATATTTGGGATGATGGAGGTTGCGTATGAGCTATAGTCTAAACTCCTTAAAAGGGGTTATATAGGGGACTATTATAGGGGTTATTAAGGGGGATACTAGGAGTGTAGACTAAACTACTAAGCCCCTAAACCTTAAACCCCTAAACCCTCAGCCGAAGGATTCTCTTGGAGAGGTTTGAGAAATTCCTATCAGGCTGTTGACGGATCGAATCCTGCATGGCCCTGAATGGACGAAAGTAGAAGAATTCCTACTTGGGAGGATCAGGGGGACTTAGTATCTAGCTTAATCATGGGATAGCCGGGGTCACTATATGGGTTGTAGGGATTATTATCCTACTTACTAACAGCCCCCTGGACCCTCCAAGTAGGGCTTAGATGTATAGAGTCATGCTGGATCTTGTCCATCAAGTGTAGGTCTGTGTAACAGTTCCTCTTTCTTTCTGCGTGCTGCTTCACGTCCACCCTAGCAGCACCCGTAATCCAAGCAGTGCCCAAGCGGACGTGGCATGCAAGTCTGCAAGGACAGCTGCTTCTCAGCTTTTGCCTGCCCTGCGTGCCTAAGCAAATCAATCAAATGATGACAAGGATTGCTCGTCGCTTCAGCCAACATTCCACTTCACTTTGAGAGCTGCTTTGGTGCGAACCAATCAGAATTCACATCCACAGCAGAACCCATCGTCCCATGTAGCATCCGGGGATACGATGTACTCGTTACTGCTGCTTCGCCGCTTGGAAGGTGTACCAATTTTCGATAACTTCCACCAGACCAACAAACACCACGCAGAAACCACATTTTAAGAGCATACGCTCCTACGCCGACAGGTTCAGATACAGACAATTATTCGCGCAAGAAGACACAAGCAGCGTGACCCCAGACTCTAACCACACCCTGGGACCCAAAGCCCAAGTGTTGACGTCTCAAACGCCTAGACCCACAAATCTGGAAGCAAACCTAAGGCCCCAAATAAACGCCGACCTAAACCCTGAATAACAGCCCTTGAATGGTAGCATCCCGTGCAGACTCTAGAAAGAAAAACCATGCTTGTTGCCATATGTAGCAGCTTGAATATTTGCCAAGCAATCCCCATAATCCTTATGTAGCCAGGGCATAGTGCAACTACAGTATAACATGCCCCCGCGCTCGGTTCTAAGTATATTAGGCCCCTACATGCAATCCCTATAAACCCAGTTCTCATTCATGTTCCATTTTCTGTGCTATTTGATTCTCCAATATTCTAGTCTATAGTTACGGTAGAGCATACTCCAAAATGACATTCTAGTTACGCTTTTTGCAGAATAAAATGCTCAAATCCCTATTCCAAAGATGCTGCGCCCCTGCTCGTTACCTGAACCCTAAGCCCTAAACCCAAAGTTCCTGTTCTCAGTCTAAACCCCAAACCCTAAACCCCTAAACCCTAAACCCCTAAATCCCTAAACCCTAAACCCCTAAACCCCCAAACCCCAAACCCCTCAACCGCTGCTTCTTGCCTAGGCCTGGAGGCCTCCGCCTAGGCCACACCGGCCACCAAGCTGCAACAATACCCAAAGGGTCCTAAGTACCCAGGGTTTAGGGTTTAGGGTTTAGGGTATACTTACCCAATCCATAAGGGAAATTACTACTACAGAAACCATACTTTGTACCATATAAGTACTTTGGACCCTTTGTGAATGGGCATGGAAGGACGGCCAGCGTTCCGGGTTTTAGGGTTCAGGGTTTGGGGTTCGTGCCTAGGGCTTCGGGCTCAGCCTTACCTAGGAGTTCCATGAACGAGTCTTTGTTTTTGCAAAGTCAGGAGCCAGCTGAAACTATGAAGGCTGTACGTAGACGGGTTTTAGGTTTTAGGGTTTAGGCCAGCGACAGACCCCACTAGTTCCAACATCCGGGTGATGGGGGCTTCTCGGCGGAGACGCACGTTCTTGCAAGTCAATCCTTTCCTGGGATGGTTCCAGTGGGCCCGACAGGACCCTAGGTGCATGTAGCGGTCATGTGGGGAGCGTGGGCTCCTTCTCAGGTACCCTAAACCCTAAGCCCTAAAACCCTAAACCCCAAACCCTAAACCCTAACCCTAAACCCTAAACCCTAAACCCAACATACAGTATGTGCAGTTTTCAGAAGCCGCATTAATCCCGTGGCATCCCTGAAGCCTAGATCGGTAGGTTTACCTGCCGGTACATAGGCTTATATAGGGGTACCTAGGGTGTTTAGGGTTTCGGGTTATATAGAGTTTCAGGTTTAGGGCTTAGTAGGTTTACCTACCGGTATATACCATAGTCTCCTTAAGAACTATTTAGTTTTGAGTTTTTGTTTATAATAGAACCCTAAGGAACTATAAAATCTATTTTGTTTTTTATATGTCTAAGGAGACCTACAGTATAGGGTCCTATAGGGTTTAAACCTTAAATCGTCAACCCTATACTTATACTTAGCCAATGGAAGAACTTAAAACTTTTAGGCCTTCCTTAATTTGGTCTTTATATTAAAGTTTGAACTTTTTTGGCCCTGGTTATCGGGGAAGAGAGTATATAGTCCCCTATATAAGCTTGCAAGCTAAGGAGCTGCATTGGCAATACTGGCTGTGCCACAGCTGCAGGATTTGGGGCCCATACTGCCGAAGCCTAGGTTTAGGGTTTAGGGATTAGGGTTTAGGGTTTAGGGTTTAGGGGGAGGCAATAAGGGAATATACTCTCTAAATGATCCTTAAATGAGATATTCCTATATTCCCTACTAAGAACCAGTAAGCTAATTGGGAGTTTCTCAGAACAGCCCCTCTAAAAGTCTCACCAGAGACCATAAGTATTTCCCACACATCCTTGGGGTTTCGCAGGGCACCCAGGAGCCCAGCCGCGTTTAGGATTTAGGGTTTAGGGTTGTAGTGCCTTCCTTAGTGCCATCCTGCCGAAGGGCCTCTTACCACCATCACAGGATCCTATGCCAACCCCATCCTAACACCCCACACCTCCAACCACGATTTGCAGAAATCTCAAATGGCCCTTAACTAAGCTGTATGTATACCTTATTTGAAGCTTGGGGCGGAGCTAGGGTAGGGGTTGGATGAGATCTCCCTTTTCCAGGCGCGGCCCGTCCGCAAATCACGAGATGTCAGTCAACTGTTATGCTGTGTGAGTAATATATTCCACACTCTTGTAAGGCTGGGTAGTGGAAAAGCCGAATTGATAAGCAGGTAATATCGTATAGTCTCTGACATTCCCTGGTATGGATGATGGATAACACTGGCGTTTTGTAATATGCCTGCCTAGCTCATACGCCTTGGATCCCTAAATCATCCCAGTTTCCATTTATTCTCCCATTTCTTTGCCATGTGATTCTCCACTATTCGGATATGTCCCTATATCTATATGCCTGTATGCCTGCGTAATACGCCCACCTAGCTGCAACAGGTTTGCGCGCAGTATCTAAGGTTGAAACCTAGAATGGCCCCCTAACCCTGGATCCTTATATCCCTACTATATACCCTATATGTACCCTTAAGGTTCCCTAGAATCCCTGAGGGCCCATATTCGGGGCCCAGACTTCTAACCTTAGACAGTAGCAGCTTTCCGGATAGGTAGAGGATTTTCACGATTTGGGCTGCAGCAGTTTAGGGCTTAGGGTTTAGGATGAGTAGTACCGCTGCCTCAATGAAGTTGTCCTTTGTACCCGCGGGTTTGGATCGCTAAGCCGGTGAGTATAGCCTTCAAGCAGGATATGTGGCCCCAAAATCCAGGGTTAGAAGCCCTCAGGGTGCAAAATTACAGTCTTGGATACCAGCATCATGGCTCGTATAATGTGCACCTCCCAACTTTGTACATACCTGAACCCTGAACCCTCGACCCTACACCCTGAAGGAAATATGCGCGGGGGTTATGCGACCTCGTTGAAAAGAGGGCAAGAGGATGTCTAAGGATAGATTGCCCAAATTATGTTAGGGGTTATAGGGATGTATGTCTATAGTGTTTAGGGTTTTCACTTTAAGGATATTACCTCCGTAATGGAGAAGCAGATGGAACAGAAACTTGAACATAACATGGAAACTGGGGTCTTGTGGGAGTCTATAGGGATAGTTTGGAAAACTTATTGTCCTAGGTTCCTCGAAGTATTGTAGCATAGCGTGCCTCAAGCAGACCTCAACATGATATTGGTAGTAACCCTAAACCCTAAACCCTGGACCCCAGACCCTAAACCCTAAACCCTAAACCCTAAACCCTAAACCCTAAACCCTAAACCCTAAGCCCTAAACCCTAAACCCTAAACCCTATACAAGCCAAGGGCCCCTCGGCTCAGGGCCCTTACCCAATTCGTAATAAACTATGTATGCGTGTGGTTTCCCGGGTTTAGGGTTTAGGGTTTTAGGGTTTTAGGGTTTAGGGTTTTAGGGTTAAGGGTTTAGGGTGCCTAACTTGCGGCTGCTTCAATGAAACCCCTGGAATCCCCAAATCGCCCAAAGTGACTTTAGACAAACTGGGTGTAGGGTTTGGAGTTTAGGGTAATTCCCCCTCAAGGCAGGAGTTTCTTAAATGATTTTGAAGGGTGCATCATATTTGTAACTCCGGTCCTAATACTTTTGGTCAGTGTACTTGAGCGTTCATCAGATGTAGTACTTACACATAACTGGGGTTATAACCTCATGTGTAACTCGGGAAATCCACATAAGCCCAGCTGGGAGGATTATGAGCAGGGTTTCAAGCTCAGTTAAAACCCTAAACACTAAACCCTAGTTACTGTAAAGGGGTCTTGGAATGACCCTAGACCCTGAACCCCCTAAACCCAAGGTTTACACTCCCCCAAACTAACATGGAAACCCATATAGCCCCCTTTTAGAAGGACAGAAGTCTTTATATTTGGGTTTCCATGTTAGTTTTCGGGAGTGTAGGCCGTTTAGGCTTTAGGCCGCCACTGAGGGGGGCCAAAGTTCGCCTTCGATGTCCAGACAGTCCATGCCTGGGCAAGTGGTTAAGGGTCTGGGGTTCAGAGATTTCGGATGAAGTCGGGTTTAGGGTTTAGGGTTTGGGGTTTAACGGTTTACGGTTTTAAGGTTTAGGGTTTACGTTAATTCTGAACATTCCCCTAGGGGCAGTGTCATGAGTGCAGTGCTCAACTGGTGGGGAAAACTCCAGGCCGAGATGCTTACAAGCCTGGTGCAAAAACACGGTCTAGGGTTTAGGGTTTAGGTCTAGGCTTTGGTGTTTGGAGGATAGTGCTCAGAGGTGTTTCGACTAAGGTGGCAGGTTTGGGATAGTTAGTACTTTCTCCAATTAAAATAAGCAGGCCGGTCCATGAATCTTAAGAGCCTTCAAAGTACCATGCAGTTTGAGTTTTAGGTTTCTGTATGCCTTATCGAGGACTCCTGAATCTTGCTCTTCTTCTATGCACCTTGGGTTCGACAGTGTGCGGGTTGAGTAGCTAACCATTTATTGAAATTGGCACAAGATGCCCTAACCCTGAGGGCTTTACATAGCTTAAACTACCTACCACGTACAGAATCTAGAGTCCATAGTAGGTATTATTCATACTCCTGAAGCCCCGGGGCACTCTTCAAAGCCAACACCCCAAGCCTGTTGAGCAGTCAGACAGTTTTCAAGTAAATTCATGTGCCTTGCGTGGTACGCCTGTTGAAGCTCATGCAGGCAAAGACGAGCAAGCGCACGCATCAGAAGCTTCCTGTAGCAGCGTGGTCCGCTCCAACTGCATGAGCCCAAAAAGAGAAAAGTAGGTCTCTTCGGGGAGTTTCTGTGCCAGTGGATATGTTATGTGGCCGTATAGCACAAACTAAGACTTCACAAGCTCCTACAGAAACCCTGAAAACACAATCTCCTACTCAAGGGATCAACTGTACAAGGCCGACCGATTTCAGCAGTTGGACTAGCTTGTTTCACGTTGGTTTCGCCAGCATGTTGGCGCGAAGTGATCAAAGATGAGCGCAGCTGCCAACCAAAAAAGGCACGCGAGCGGCAACTCAAGGCCAGGTATGATATTCCTTAAACCCATAAATGTGGCTTTAGGCCAGCCATTAAACCCAGGGAAGCCACAACCTGAAGTATACGACTTCCAACTAACCCCATGTGCCTTCCTCTCTTCCCGCAGCGCAGTTTTCGATTTAGGCTCAGGGTGTAGGGTTTATGTGGGGGAAACTACTCGCCGGAAACTTCTTTAGATCTAAAACAACAACTTAACCAACTACCACCCAATAGTGCAGAATACTCTCAACATTGGAGCAAGGGATGCGTGCTATTAGGAGGTGGGGTGCGGGCTTAGGGCTTCGGGTCTAGGGTTTGGGGTTTACGGGTTAGGGGTTTGAGGGCCTGAGCCTCCAGGCATCAGAGTCTATCGAAACGAAATGCCTCTAAAGAGCACACATCCCCAATAATCCCCTGATCGTTTCCGCATATACCGTGGGTCTTTAAGGGCCTCTCTATTGAGAAGCGTCAAGACTTTAAGATGGCCACAGTTACGACCATCCATCCATCTATGGTTTAGGGATCAACGACTCAAGTGTCATTCAAGCAGACCGCCCACTAGCCTGGTTGAGGAAACCTCCAAAAAAGGATTTCTCAAAATGGGGGACGCTAAGGGACCCTAGGGTCTACGGCTTAGGAGCCAATACAAGGATGACCGTGCGCTCCATATTTGTTCCACTGGAGGATGACAAGAAGTTTTTATGGGTTCCCCAGACCTCCCTAAATCCGAAGCCCTAAACCCTAAACTGCCTGCTAAGGCATGTCGGGAGGATTCAGGGAGGAATGCTTCAGGGTCGCAACAACTTATATATACATATATTTATTTGTTTATACATACGCATGTTAGATTGTTACGGGTACTCTAATTTGGAGCTACTAAGTTTGAATGGCGGGGTGTCAATGCCGAGGATCCTAAACGGTACACGATTTCCTCCAACATCCTCATCCACTATATGAGTACCAGTAAGCATACCTGTAAACCCTAAAAGCCCCATAGAAACCCCACTTATTCACCATCATGAACCCATTTAGTCAGTTCCACTGGCCCCGAAGCAGATTCATCTTTCATTCCCTCAGCCCTCAACAGTAGTCCTAAACTCGAGGTTTCTCAAGCCCAGGCCCTACAGCTCCGTCCCACACGCCCAAGGAACCAAAAACAAGCACATGTATGAATACTAGCATGCTCACAACAAGGTTTTGGAAGGTTTTTCAACATGATGAGTGAATATCTATATTCTTTACATGACTCCCACGCCACCCCGGCAACTAACCTTCGGGCCCTGCATGAACGTCCTGTCTTCCGTCCCCACCTAGAGGTCGCTAGGGTACTTAGTTGGGCATGCTAAACACCAAACTACGTACAGATCCGCTGGTCTCCAAGCGCAACCCCGAAACCCTGAAGCCCAACCACTGAATAGTAGTTGGCATTTTTCCGCATAGAATCCCTATATAGAACCCGACCCAGACGCCCCATACAATGATGAGATAACCAGCACCAACTTACAATTACTTACGGTTTCATCACCGTCTGAAGCTCAGAAGATGCAATGTCTAAAGGCAAGATGACCGCCACCAACCTCGAAGTGTATACTCACGAAATTCCCCAATGTATCCCCGTAGAGTTCCTGTATTCTCCCACTATAATCCGTATGGAATGCCATGGAGCACCTGAACCCTGAACCCTGAGCCACAAACCAAATGCTTGAATCTCAAACCCTAAACCTCAAACCAAAGCCCTGAATAGGCGTTTCCCATGTTTTTTGTATTCCCCTAGATATATCCCTACAGAGCCCCTAAAACACCCTAAGCCGTCGCCCCAGGAAGCAATGGGGACCAGCTGGCGCTTCGGGGAAGTGACCTCAGCTTTGAGTGCATAAGCTAGCTGAATTGAGGCTTTAGCTTTGAAGTCCCGCTTAAGTGGATAGAATATGGCTTTGGGTATGTTAGAATAAGATCCCCATATATCCCATATTGTTTCTACTTACGGGGGACTATAGGGCTTGAGATTGAAAGGGCTTAGGAGGTCGTCGGGTTTAGCTTTGTAGATTCATTGGTTTCGGTTTTCAGCAATTAAAGGGGCTTTGGCTGTAGTGTTTAGGCCAGAGGGCATGGTCCATTGTAGGATCCTGCGCGCAGGCCAACCCCTACTGTACGCCATTTTTATTCCAAAATAGACCCTAAACCCTACATCCTACAGTAAACCCTATAACCCTAAACCGCCTGGCTAAGTGTAGGGCAAAGTCTAACCATCTCGCCCACGGTCGCTCCAGATGGTAGCTTAGATAGATTTTGGTCTCACTAGGGTTTGTTTAGGGTTTAGGGTTTAGGGTTGATCTGAAGCCTGTTGCAAAGGGTTCAGGGTGTAGGGTTTAGGATTCAGGGTTCAGGGTTTAGAGTTTAGGTTTTAGGGTTTAGGGGTGAGCCGTTACTCCTTGATTCCAGGGTCTGAAATTAACTTATGCGACAGCCATTCGCGGGTGAGAACCCTAAACCAGTAGCTACATATAATCCCTACAAACAAACCACCACAGCGTCCCAGTTTCCATTTCATTTCCCATACGATCTTCCTTTTGATTCTTCGTCTCGTGCATGAGAGATTGTCTGTACTGGTCTACAAGGCGTACAAGGATTACTTGATAATCTAGATGTTCCCTGATCTGGTGCTTGAGTTTCTGCTATGTATAAGGCTCATAAACCAACTGAACCTGCAATTTATACCAGGCTTCCAGAAGGGTAGGGATATCCCCTGCAAAAATCCTGCATGACCTTGAGCATGGCGTGCTTTGAGGATCATGGCATTGTTTCATCGTCCGGTCATGCACGACTTTCAGCACCAACCGAAGGACAGCTTGATAAGCACTCTCAGTCCTATGCCCTACAAAACTGTAAACCCTGTTCTACTGGGTTGTGTTTAGGGTTTAGGGCTTAGGCATCTACTGGGAAGTACGGAAGTACTTGACTTCATGCCTCGCCGATGAAATCAAACTTGATCTGCGTCCCTTTTTACCCTGGGGTTTCAAGTCTATCAACAATACCTTTACTGGGCCGTAATGCCACTGGACAGCAAACAGTCTGGCAGTCTTGGTAGGCACCTTTGTGCGGTTTCCGGCTTGTTCTGGGTAGCGTCTGAAACGGAATCTAGTGCACGCCAGTACGTCATGGCTTCTCTTTTCAGGGTTTACGGCTTAGGTTTTAGCGCAATTAGGGTTCCCATTAACAAGCCCTGAGCCCTCTGAGTTGTCCTTAAATAGGCCCCGTCAAAGGGGGTGTGTTAATGAAATCCAGAAGTACAGTGGCACAGGTCTGCCTGCACCTACCAGTCCACCCGCCACGCTTGCATAAATTTTCGCTGCGATTGCTTGATCACATGATAAACCCCAAACCATCCACCTCAACATGAGCTGTAGTCTCAAACTCCTTCAAAAGGGGGTTATGCAAGGGATTATCATCGGCTTATTGAGGGGGATACTAGGAGTTCAGATTATAGCTGATATTGCGGCCACCCCTAACAAGGGCATTACGTTAGCAGGAGCGGGACTTTTTGGGGTTAAGGCTTTACAGACTTCAGGTCCCCCAAACTTGCCAAATTACAGCCCTGTAACTATCAATAGCAGCTTTCGACAGGCGCGGGTACCAAAATCCCTTCATTTCTGCGCCTTTCATCCTATAACTCTTTATAAAACCTCAAATAACATTTTGGGAACATAGTCCCTGGGATTCCACGGTTCCGACTCCTCCTGTCCCTGACCTTGCCTGGGTTGCTATCAAGGAGCTCAGTTCGATTTCCATTATGAGGTAGCCATAAGGTTTACCGTACCCATCTTTTGGTAACTTAGTGATTTCCGCGACCGTGGCCCAGGCGAGTATGCAATTATTGATGCAGGAAGTCTTGCATCACTCTAAAAACCTTGTGCCCCAATAACTACATGCTACTGACCCTAAGTGGCACACGGTTCCCCCATCTACCGCACCAGCATGCAAGGTTCAA